GCTAGGCTACCATTTTTATCAGGTTCTTATCTTTTTAAAATAAGTCACTGGTTAAAATTTCACTGTTGTGCCCGCAACCTCTAATCCCATTTTTCTGATAAGCCTCGAAGGATTTTTCAAAGCTCTGGTTTTTGGCAGAACACGTGCCACTGCTGAGGCCCAGGAAGGCCCCAAATTGTGCCTCAATGGCATATTGCTTATTCTGAATTAAAGTTACTTAAAACAACACAAGAGGGGCACCCTGACTCTCCTTTGTTTCCCTGAAAGCCGGAAATCAGTCTCTCATGGGACAGGTGCACTCCCTGCATCTGGAGGTAGAAGGATACCCTTATCATGAAAGACAGGTAACAAGGCAGAGAAGCTTACATGTTACTGTGTTACATGTTACAAACCATGTTACTTCTTTAATTTACCACCCCCCAAGCCTAAACTCCGTTTAGATTCTTCACTAACTGGGCACCCAAAACCTAAGTTTCTTTGCCCTGTCAATTCCTCACAAATAAAGTTTCTTTGTCTAAAAAGTATAAAAGCTGCCAACTTTGGACATTTCTATGGGACCTCTATGCACATGAATTAAAATTTATTTCTTGGTGGGAGGGTATAGCTCACGAGTAGAGCTCATACTTAGCATGCACGAGGTCCTGGGTTCAATCCCCAGTACCTCCATACAAATAAAAACCCAATTACCTCCCCACCCCAGATAAAATAAAGTTTAAAAAAATTTAATGTGTTTCTTTTTCACATGTTAATTTGTTTTGTGTCAGTTTTATTTTCAGCCCAGCCACAAGAACTCAAGAGAGGTAGAGGGGGAAATTTCTCCCTCCTCAACATTACCTTATAATTACTTGGGTAAATCTACCCTCCCCCCATCCCCCAACTAGAGGGAAAGCACCCGAAGGGCAGGGAGTGATTTTTATTCCTTTTTTGATCCCTAAAGTCCTCCTGACAAGACAGCACGTGTAATAGATTTCTCAATTTATTTTACCCTAGCCTCCTTTAAGGAAATCCCCCACTAGCATTCTATCAAATTGGGCTTGGAATAGGGGAGGCCAGAAGGAATTCCAAAGAAACAGCCCAGGGAAGGTCTTTGTTGGCAACATTTCCCTCCCAGAGCTTCCAGGAATCCCACTTCAGGGAACCATTAACTTCCGTCTGAGTGGATGGGAGCTAACCCACCCCCCACCAACATTCCCAGGAGGAAGAACACGCACAGGGCCCAGGAGGCTGTGTCAGCAGGCAGCCCCCTGTCTGGGCCCTGCAGCACCCAACGGACGCAGCAGCCAGTGCAGTGAGGAGGCCCAGAAAAAGATGTATTACCATCACAAAAGTTAATGGACCAGAAAGGGGAAAAATTAACATAAATTACCTTCGGCTGAAATCCTGCCTTCCTTGGCAGCTAGAGAAAAAGTTCATTCTAGTGCTTGAGGAAAACCAGGTCTTGGGAAGCAGAGGCCTTAATGGGCTAAAATATCACCTCCGACCCTCCCTCAAAAACAATAACTCCCTGATCATCTGGGCCTAGTAACAAATTATGCAAGACAAGTGGCACAAAGAAGCTAGTTTTACTTTGCTGCTCTCTGGCTAGTCCTTTGTGCAATGAGTGATTTATGTAGCTTTTGCTGGGTGTGCAATGCATTCCTTGGGGAATTGGTAACCTCTACCAATTCAGCAAACCTTGGGGGTGTCCCTGGCCCTCTTTATTAGGAAACCAGCTCCAAGGCTTTTCTGGATGTAAAAGATATTTTTCCTGCCCCTCCCATGCTCCCCTGCCCCCTTACTCAGGGCTTAGATGGCCACAGTGAGGCTAAGCGAGAGAACAGAATTCCACCGTGAAACTGTTCCCAAGGTGAGGGAATGGGGAAAGGAGAGAGAAATAAGAAAGTGTTGATGGAAATTGTGTGTACAGAGCAAGGCAGCAAGCTGGCATTAGAGCATAAAAGTTGGATGGTGGCTGAGAGATACCTGGTGTCAGGAATGATCAGGAGACTTTAAAGAACAATGATGTCTAAGACACAATTCTAAGTTATTGGCTGTGCTGTGTGGTATTCGACCCCTTCTTTTTCCCCTCAAGCTTTTAGTAAAAGTCTACTACATGTAGCCTCGAATTGAGACTGCTTTGGTGAGTGAGGAGTATTGGCAGCATGAGAAGAGAAAGGGATGAGAAGCATAGTAGGTCAAGAATTCAGCAGAAATAGGTAATAAGAGCAAATATTTTTATAGCGCTATGGAGTGGCAGATACAGTTTTAAGTGCTTTATATTCATATTACCAGTAACTCATTTCATGCTATGAAGGAGGAACTTTCACTATTCCCATTTTATATACAAAGAAACTGAAGCCTAGAAAAGTTAAATAACTCATCCAAGGTCACATTACCAGTTAAGTGGCAGAGCTGGACTGTGAACCCAGGCTCCAAAGCCATTCTCTTAAACACTGCACACACACTACTGCCCCTTGAGAATTCCCAAAGACACAGAGTTTAGGACATGGGGTTTCCTATTGTACTTGTGGGTGGGGAGCAGCATGAGGTGAGTCCTCCTAGCTGAACGTGGAGGGAAAGATGACCTCAGGGGACTGGGAGACTTAGATAAACCCAAGAGGCTCATAGTTGGATTGCACTTAAATTAGGAAGGGAGGGCCAAGTGAAGCCCAAAGTTCTTTCCTATGCTAAGGGTCTGTGAGGCCAAGACAGGGGTCCTGCCCTAGAAGAGGTTGTGGATTTGTTGTGGAGGGTACACATATCTTGAACAAGTAAAATAGTTCACTGTGGAATGAACAGTCACATAGCATAGAAAGCAACAAAGCAGTAAAGATCTAGTGTGAGCTCTTTGGATCAAAATAATATACGTTCGATGAAATGCTTTCGGGAGAGAAGAAACCAGGAAGACTTCGTGGAGGAGGTAGCCTCCTGTAGAACAGTAGACTATAATCACAAGGCTCTGGAGTCTCATTCCAAGCATTTCCCAGTCCTAATCCCTTTCCTTCAGGTCCCTTCTTCATTCTCTTTCCTTCCATATCCCAGAATTCCTCTTATTGAATCAGCAAAGTGCAAGGGATGCCTTGTGGAGAGGTGGGAGCAGGATGATCAAGGGCAGGTTTGGTCAGTCAGTAGGGAAATGACCTACAACGGCTCTGGTTCCCGAAAATGACCTACAGGCTGAATCTAAATGGAAACTCGGACTCCCCGTCCCAGATCATCTTTGGTTAGCTTTTGTTTTTCAATTGAGATATGATTCATGTAGCTTAATACTCAATACTTTAAAACATACAATTGAGTGGTTTTTAATATGTTCACAAAGTTGTGCAACCATCACCACAATCTAACACAAGAACATTTTCATCATCCCAGAAAGAAACCCTGTGTCCATTAGCAGGCACTCCTCATTTCCCACTCAACCTCTCTCAGGCCACCGCTAATCAACTTTCTGTCTCTATAGATTTGCCTATTCTGGATATTTGTATCAAGGGAATCGTATAATGTGTGGTCTTTTGTGACTGGTTTCTTTCACTTAGCATAAGTATTTTTAAGGTT